ACATGTAATTGCATGTAATGTAATTCAAAGCTCTCAGGCCATACATTTTAAATAATTCCTCTGCCACTGATTGTGATTCTAAATTCCATTGCATATTGATTACATGTACATTAGTCTGGAGAATATACAAAAACCTTCTGTCAGATGGACACAGAGAAAGCACTGTAGCCACAAAAAGCCAACTGGGCTCAACTCCAACCTCTTGCCCTTTGCAGGGATTTTAAATCTCTAACCCATAAACACGGAGTAAAGATCACTGCCGCGTTCCCCTGCAGCCTTGAGGACATCAGCCTGGCTGTGGGGGAAAAGATTGGGCACAGCTGTGTTAAATCGGCTGCCCGAATGAACAGCGCCGTGGTCATTTTTCTGGACCAGGGGGAGAAGGTGAACCGGGTCATCGAGACAGGTCTCACCGTGAATGAAAGTTTAGTAGCCTGCATGTGCTACAGCTGTCACAACCAGCCACCAAGGTGGTCCTGTCCAATGTCCCCCCTTCATAACCGATGAGTTTCTCAGTAGAGAGCTTTCAAGGAACGGGAAGGTGGTGTCCCCGATCAGAAAGATCCTGTCTGGATGTAGTCTCCCTTACTGAAACACCTAGTGTGTCACCGCAGACTGCTGTATATGATACTGAACAACTGGGATGAGGAGCTCAACCTCCGCTTCCTGGTTAAAGTGGATGATTATGACCACGTGACTTTCGCCACCATATAGATGATGAAGTGTTTCGGTAATTCGATTGCGGAGGTGGGAAGGGGAAGGGAAAGAGAAAGGAATGAAAGGGTGTGTGTGAACAAATGAATGACAAAGATGAGATCAGTGAACAGGTGGAGGAGAAGACAGGTGAGGAGGAAATGCAGGCAGTTGAAGAAAAGGAAAGTGGACAGGTAGAGAAAGCAGGAGGCAGCAGTGAAAAAGAAAGAAATGAAACAGTTAAAAAAGTGTGTTATGGAGTGAGCAGGTGGAGGAGGAAACAGAAACATTTATAAAAACCAAAGGTAGCAACAAAACGCAGGAGAGAAAACAAAAACACAAGTCATGCAAAAAACAGTAAAAGTGTTGAAAGGAAGAGTGCTGGTTTTAAATAACTTGGTAGCATCCCAGTTGTGGTACCGCTTAACCTGTGTAGACCCCCCCACCCCAGGGCTGTTAACAAATATACAGTGAAAATACAGTGATAATACATTTCTTTTGGGACTATACTGGATGCCACTGAGGGTGCTGTTTTTAGCCAGAAAGGAGAGGGAACAGGGCCTCTTCCACCTGGCCAGCCAGACTGCCACTTTTAGACTCCAGTTCTTACAGAAGTATCTGACAGGCCCAGCAGATCTGGTGTGAAGAGATGTGACCAGCTGCATCCTTAGGCATGCCAATAAGCTGGGGTTGGATCATGCTCTGTTTTTAACTGATTCTAAATGTCTAAATTTAACTGGGTTACCTCCGTTTTATCAAGGTGTTTTTAAATCGTGGGCCCATTTTTACCATAAAAGGTGTCCCAAAGCCGATTCTCTGCACTGTTTGTTGAGAGAACCACTGATTAACGGGGCCAGACTGGACGTCAGCAGTAACACAACACCTGGCCTGATGGGGGCGCTGATACGGTCTGGGACTCTGATCCTACAACAGCTGGTGGATGCAGTGGGGCCGGCGCTGAGCGATGCCCAGGCCCTGGGCTCTCTACTGGGGCTGCAGTTTCTCCGGGTGGCCCAGAGGATCCTAGAGCTCTGGACCTGGAGGCTCTCTGGGAAAGAGAGGAGCCTCCTCATGGACTGTTACCAAAAAAAAAAAAAAGACTAAACCTGATGCTGCAGACCCCTTCCCGGAAATATTCCAGAGCCCAGGGCTGGGAGAACTGACCAGCCCCCTACTGAAAATCCCAAACACACAAAAACTGACTCTACACAGAGCTGACAAAAAGACACTATATGAAAATTGTGTGACGAGCATCCATCCAAAAAATAAGTTACTAAGTAAAAAGAAGAAAGTGATGAACCTTGTTGTTCAATGCGTTTAACTTCTAAAGACACAATTGGTCATTGAACAAAAGTCCCAGACATGTTCGGCTCTCAGGGCCACCGTACTTTAAGTTGTGGTGACACATGTTTTTCACATTAAACATTGAACATGTATCTGTTCTGATGTCTTCAGACCACTGTAGGGATTTCATCAGCCCAGATGGAGGGCTTTCATACATAAAATCAGTTGTCAATGACACATGAAAATGCAGTACAAAGAGAAAAAATGTAAAACAGAACAAAACTAAGCAAAAAGAAAAAAATAATGTGAATGTATCGTTTTGCATTTCCTTACCTCTACATTGTTGTTGCCCTCTCCAACCATTTTCTTCACAGGTTAGATAAAAATTTCCTTTATAACCATCCTTGCAGACATAACTGGCCCGTTCACCGTTCCTGTATATCTGCTGAGGGTTTTGAACATCTGCATGCTGGAAATCACGTCTGTTGCAATTAATTTCTGAAAAAGTTATTTAGACAGTTAGATTCAGTTTAATATCTGTCTCTGAAATGTCACTATGGCAGTAGAGGTCAGTGGATTTTAGTTTGTGGTGCAGCATTAAAAAAAACTCATTTAGAAAATTTACCAGCAACATCTCCTGACAGAAACAATGCCATTGTTAGTCTGGACAATCTACATCCACAGAACACAATATCTAAATGTCTGCAGTTTTCATTAGAAATTGTGTGAATGAAGTGAAAAAACAGTTATTTGAAGCTTGATAAATACGTTGCGTCTTTCTGAATGTGATTAGCAACAGTTATTCCTGTATTTCTGGGGGAGGAGTGTGTATGGGAGTGAATGGGACATTGCTTTGTAGTTCAGATTTATGGAGTAACAGGCAACGTGACACATAAGTTGCAGATTTACTTTTGGTCTCCACTGTCTACAGGGCATCATTACTTGTATTTCATGTAAAGGCAAATAACTACTGTTGCAATGAACGCCATAGACTGGGACCAGGACAGATTGAAAATATAATCTTTGTTTCTGGGATTTTATTGTTTTGGTGGAAAATAAGCTTTAGAGTAAAAACATTGATCCAGTCTGGACCAAAAGCTCCTTCCTCATTTAATATATATGAATAGAAAATTAACATTAATGACAATAACACAAAGTCAACTTCACAGTACCTTGACAGAGTGGATTTGGTCTCCACCCATCTCTGGTGCATGTGGCCTCAGTGGCACCATCTGTTCTCTTATAGCCTCCCCTACATGAATAACGTACAGTATCCCGCAACATTACTCTTTGATCCCAATTCCTCCAGTCATACAAAGTTGGGTCTCGTGGACGGTTGCATGTAACCTCTAGAATAAGAGAGAGACTTGTTAATCTCAATTAATAGAGATATGATTGGAAATCATCATCAAGTGTTGACGAACCACCAAAAACAATCTCATAATGTGTCTCTGGAGACAGTCTGTTTGAAGCCCACAGAGTTTTGTACCTCTGCATGTTAGTTCGAAACTCCACTCTCCATCATCTTTGCATGTAGCAACTGCTGAGGTGTCTTGAGGGCGGGAAATGTAGTAGTTGTCTCCACATGTTATTTTTACTGTTCCACCAGGTGGAAACACATTTCTGAAAGGAGGGTCATAACTGGCTCCTCCGGTTGGAAACTGCGGCAGTCTGCATGTTATTGCTGCATTTGATGCGAAAGGAAACATATTTTCTGTTAGTTAGACAACTTATACAGCATGATTTTCACCTGCTGCAGAGATTCATCCACGTTCAGCCACAGGATAAAAAACCAAAGATGGTGAAAGAGTCTCATTATGAACATCCAGGAATTGCAGTATTTAGGAATTATTCGCTGACCAGAGTATTTGTAGCTCTGTAGTCTGCTCTAGGTCGACCACATGTTCAGGCCCAACAACATGTACTGCCCCTGAAATGAGCACCAGCCCCCAGAGAGTAAAACTACTGTGATCACACACAGCTTTTTGGCTTCATGCCATTCACCTGTTGCACTTGTCCACATGCGCAATCTTTTAATTTTACAAGCTGAGTCAAAACCAAGTGCTTCAAAATATTTTGTACAACTTTTTAATCATTATTATCACAGTTTTATTTTGAAGATTTCTCCTCTAAAGATATCTAGGAAATGATGAGCTTTATTTTACATCAACCCGAAAGAGACCTAGGCAGAGAACTCGATTCAGTATATATTTATATATATATATGCAAACAGTATATGTACATACATATATGTATACTCATTTTGTCAAGCCTCTGAACCAGGAGTATGATCAATTATGATTCAACAAGGTCCTCTTAGACAAAATTTCTTCAAGCATGAACGTTGGTGTAGCTTTACTTACCTTTTTTCTTCTTAAGCGTTAACTTCAACATTTAACCAACAGTTTTGACTATTTCTTTAATAAAAGATTTCAACACGTCTTAACAAAATAGTGTTTGTCCTTTAACTGTGTCTGAAGTAAGTGCAACTGTTTAACAATGTTTGGAATTGATTGGAAGTCAATAAGCCTCACAGGTTTGGGCAAGCCAAAGTTAAACATCTGTCATTGTGCATAACCATGAACAACAATAGGAGAAAAAAACTGTGTTTGTCCTTGTATTATTGTAGTTTCTTACCTCTACAATCTTCAGACCCTTCCCAACCATTTTGTCCACAGGTTAGAGAAAAACTTCCCTCACGACCATCCTTGCAATTATAATGAACCCGATCACTGTACGTGTATACCTGCCGAGGTTTTCCCTCAATGTCTGCATATGGGATATCATATCTTTCGCATGTTACCTCTGGACAAAATAAATGTAGAGACTGGTTACTGGCAAGTGGAAGCTGCATTGGGTTTTCACATAAGAAGAACTTGTTCTTGCATTTTCCACTTGAGTACAAACAGGAAAATACAGTTACAATGATTACTTTTAATAATTTTATTTGTATGTTCTGCAAATCAAAACTCTCAATCCTCTGCCCAGACATGGCTCTATAGACTGTGTTGATTGGGGGGGTGGCATTAATAGATATTACTAACTGCCAGACTTCAAGACTCGTTACTGTGCTACTCGGAGCCTCATTTAGGACTGTAAGCTATAACATGCACTGTTTTATGTTACCCGAAATTAAAGTCATAGGCTCTAATAATACATAAGCCCATAATGTATTTAATTTGGAATTAATTGGCTGATTTGAGTGCTGTCCTCATTTGGAAACTGATACACCTGGCAGCCTAAAGATGCTATTTATTTTTAGTAGTTTTATCATACGTTATCATTATCACCAAGACATGTTTTTCCCCTCCCCTCAGCATTTTAAAAATGTAACACATTTACTCAGAGACATTTTAACTGACTTACTTTGTACTTTTATCTGAGAACATTTTTACACAGTGATTTTACTTCTACTGTAGTAAAATGTCTCTTCAGTAACAGTAGTTAGTGGCCGTTCACGTGCTGACGTCAGGATAGTGTCTCATCTCCAGTCTCTGCAGTTTCTGCTACGGGTAGTTTACTGTCTGAACACGGTTAACATTGCTGTTTTCTTCATCACAGTGTCTAACTACCTGCTGTACATTTAAACTTACACTAGTTCTGCTCCAGCACTCAGAGCTCTCTGCTCCTTTTAGCACGTTAATTCAGCAGTTGTTTACATGCTACTCAGATGCTCGTTACTTTAGCTTAGCTGTTTGCGCTAGCTTCTCTCTCTCTCTCTCTCTCTCTTGCCTGGTTTGTCTTCATCCAGCAGATGAACTTGTTCATCAGAGTGTGGTGTTGTTGTAACTTTAATGTAGAGGATTGTGATGTTTATTACATCCTCAGTGATGTTTGCTGCCTTACCTTCGACACACGGCTCAGCTCGCTAACTTTCTCTAATCTGTGACTGCAGCAACAAGTGAAAGACGCTTGCAAACCTTAGGCACTGCACACATTTTACTTTGTCATTGCTATCCTTGAAAAACCACTTTTTGCTCCAATATCACAGATTATTTGTGGTTTTACTTGTAGTGATTCATTTCCTAATAATCTGAAATAACAGAAACTTTTTTTTTTTCTTTATACAATGTTCGGAAGTTAAAAACATCCGTAATTGTGGGATAAGCATGAACACTAATAATTTACAAAGGGAAGAAAAAACAGTGTTTGTCCTATTAACTGTATTATGCATTGTAATTTCTTACTTGTACATTCAGGAGACCCGACCCAACCGCTTTGTCCACAGGTTATAGAAAAACGTCCCTTAAAGCCGTCCTTGCAGACATACTCAACCTGGTCATTGTACCTGTATACTGACTGAACTCTTCCATCAATGTCTGCGCCGTGGTAATTTTTTACTTTGCATGTTACCGCTGGAAAAAAAGAAATGTAGAGACGGTTACTGGGAAGTGGAAGCTGCATTCTGTTTTCACATAAGAGTTGGCAAATCAGATTCAGATAGTTTAGTTATATAAAATATTCAGATAATAAAGTAGATAAAACAGGTAAAAGAGTTACACAGGATATAACACATGTAATTGCATGTAATGTAATTCAAAGCTCTCAGGCCATACATTTTAAATAATTCCTCTGCCACTGATTGTGATTCTAAATTCCATTGCATATTGATTACATGTACATTAGTCTGGAGAATATACAAAAACCTTCTGTCAGATGGACACAGAGAAAGCACTGTAGCCACAAAAAGCCAACTGGGCTCAACTCCAACCTCTTGCCCTTTGCGGGGATTTTAAATCTCTAACCCGCAAACACGGAGTGAAGATCACTGCCGCGTTCCCCTGCAGCCTTGAGGACATCAGCCTGGCTGTGGGGGAAAAGATTGGGCACAGCTGTGTTAAATCGGCTGCCCGAATGAACAGCACCGTGGTCATTTTTCTGGACCAGGGGGAGAAGGTGAACCGGGTCATCGAGACAGGTCTCACCGTGAATGAAAGTTTAGTAGCCTGCATGTGCTACAGCTGTCACAACCAGCCACCAAGGTGGTCCTGTCCAATGTCCCCCCTTCATAACCGATGAGTTTCTCAGTAGAGAGCTTTCAAGGAACGGGAAGGTGGTGTCCCCGATCAGAAAGATCCTGTCTGGATGTAGTCTCCCTTACTGAAACACCTAGTGTGTCACCGCAGACTGCTGTATATGATACTGAACAACTGGGATGAGGAGCTCAACCTCCGCTTCCTGGTTAAAGTGGATGATTATGACCACGTGACTTTCGCCACCATATAGATGATGAAGTGTTTCGGTAATTCGATTGCGGAGGTGGGAAGGGGAAGGGAAAGAGAAAGGAATGAAAGGGTGTGTGTGAACAAATGAATGACAAAGATGAGATCAGTGAACAGGTGGAGGAGAAGACAGGTGAGGAGGAAATGCAGGCAGTTGAAGAAAAGGAAAGTGGACAGGTAGAGAAAGCAGGAGGCAGCAGTGAAAAAGAAAGAAATGAAACAGTTAAAAAAGTGTGTTATGGAGTGAGCAGGTGGAGGAGGAAACAGAAACATTTATAAAAACCAAAGGTAGCAACAAAACGCAGGAGAGAAAACAAAAACACAAGTCATGCAAAAAACAGTAAAAGTGTTGAAAGGAAGAGTGCTGGTTTTAAATAACTTGGTAGCATCCCAGTTGTGGTACCGCTTAACCTGTGTAGACCCCCCCACCCCAGGGCTGTTAACAAATATACAGTGAAAATACAGTGATAATACATTTCTTTTGGGACTATACTGGATGCCACTGAGGGTGCTGTTTTTAGCCAGAAAGGAGAGGGAACAGGGCCTCTTCCACCTGGCCAGCCAGACTGCCACTTTTAGACTCCAGTTCTTACAGAAGTATCTGACAGGCCCAGCAGATCTGGTGTGAAGAGATGTGACCAGCTGCATCCTTAGGCATGCCAATAAGCTGGGGTTGGATCATGCTCTGTTTTTAACTGATTCTAAATGTCTAAATTTAACTGGGTTACCTCCGTTTTATCAAGGTGTTTTTAAATCGTGGGCCCATTTTTACCATAAAAGGTGTCCCAAAGCCGATTCTCTGCACTGTTTGTTGAGAGAACCACTGATTAACGGGGACAGACTGGACGTCAGCAGTAACACAACACCTGGCCTGATGGGGGCGCTGATACGGTCTGGGACTCTGATTCTACAACAGCTGGTGGATGCAGTGGGGCTGGCGCTGAGCGATGCCCAGGCCCTGGGCTCTCTGCTGGGGCTGCAGTTTCTCCGGGTGGCCCAGAGGATCCTAGAGCTCTGGACCTGGAGGCTCTCTGGGAAAGAGAGGAGCCTCCTCATGGACTGTTACCAAAAAAAAAAAAAAACATGCACAAGATTAGGTAACAAGAGCAGGGTGTGGAGCCCACACCTGTGTGTGAATCGTAAGTGTAACCTAGTAATCCTATTAGTGGCTTAGTTCGATCACCCTTTCACAAATGTTTGCTGTAGAATTGAGGTTGTGGTTTCTTGCTGAAATAAAAGAAATATGTTTCATTTCACACAAATGCAGCAATAACATGCAGACTGCCACAGTTTCCAACCGGAGGAGCCAGTTATGACCCTCCTTTCAGAAATGTGTT